ATTATTTTTATTAAAAAAATTAATATCTCTTTAACCCAAATTTACTACCTAAACTACCCTCACAAACTCGATTCAATATGTAAATTCATCTTTACACCCATTTAGATAATAAAATCCCAAATGAGTGAATGAAGAATTAAGATTTTGTCATGGCAACGAATTGTTAAAGATCGATTAATCAGCAGCATCAATTTGTTTATTGGGACGTCTTGATATAAGCGCCTCGTTTTTTAATTTTTTAGACTAAATATACACTCCTTTTGAAAATTTGATCAAACATTTTCCTAAAATTTTGGTTATTAATTTCAATTTTTCACATAAGTTCAATTTCGTTTAGAATTTTAGTTTTTCATGACTCTTCCTGGACATTTTTTTTTCTTTTCCTCTTATCCCTATATTTATGCATTTATTATCCATCTCTATGCATTTTTTTATTGTTTGTTATAATTTTACTTTTTTTTTTTTGTGAATATAGTAGAATATTTGTAAAAAAAAATTGTCAAATTTTATTATTTAGATGACCCAACACATAATAAAGATTTGTTTGATTATATAGCTACGTCTATTTACCTATAATATAGACACATTTAGTTTTATAGTGGATTTGATTTTTTGTATTTCTCGGTACATTTGGAATGTAAATGTACCAAAAGGGTTATCTAATAGAGACATTTGTTTTGTTGTACATTTGTGATTTTTTTGTTCATTTGGTCTTTTGGTACATTTGGAATCTAAACGTACCAAAAGGGTTACCTGACAATGGGCACATTTGGTTTTATGGTACATTTGAAATTTTGGTACATTTGATTTCTCTGTACATTTGAAATCTAAACGTACCAAAAGGGCTACATAACAATGGGTACACTTGGTTTTATGGTACATTTGAATTTTTGGTACATTTGGTTTCTCAATACATTTGAAATCTAAACATATCAAAAGTGGATACTTTTGTTCTCAAATGTACCATAAGTTTTAAGTATATCTTTTATATATCTATACGTGAAAAAATATGTATTGAAAACTTTTTATTGAGACATTTTTAATAGAAAGAGATTTTTTTTTTTTTAATTCTGATAATAAGGTAATGAGGAATTAATTAATTAATTTTTTATTTTATTTTATTAAAAAAAATCATTTAATGCGTAGAAGGGGATTGACAAAATTAAATTCCTATATTATAGGCAATTAGTTGCTAAGCTACCTTATGCCTCTATATAAATGCATTTAAATTAATGACATCAGGATTAAATAAATAAAAAATTATTGAGATGGCAATTGATCAAAGCATCTTAATCAAATATTTTAAATAAATAAATAAATAAATATTTAATCTAACAACTGTAAAAAAGATGCATGACATTCTAATATTTCCTTTTTTAAAACTTTGGCGGCGTCGGTTTGTAATGCAAGGCAGTTAGGAAATGATGCCACCTGACTTCTCTCTCTCTTCAATATCTCCCCCTTCTTCTTTCTCTGGACACGATGCAAACCTTGCATCCCCACATCCCTCACAAACATCCCATCTTCTCTCTCTGGCTACAACAAGCATCGCTCACTTACAAACTCGACATCCCTCACTGGAAACCCACTCAAAAGCTTCCCCAATTCTCCGTTGAGTTACTTAACCTCCTTTGCTCCTCCAACATCTTCTTTCTTTGCAACTTCTCCCCTTCTTCTCTCTCTCTCTCTCTTCTTTCCTGCAATCGGTTTTCTATCGGATTTTGTTGCTAATTGGTTTTACATTTCTGGGTTTTCTTCCTTGTTGTTAGTTAAGTCAATCATATACATTTGTATTTGATTTGATTGGGAAGCGACAGGAAATGGATCTTGCATCAGAATTTTCAGAATTTTTTAAACCAAAATAAATAAATTTCGGGTTTTTTTTTAAATAATTGAATCGAAACCAAACCAAACTGAAAAACCGAACTGATAACAAAACGAATTGAAAAAAAAAAACCAAATCGAACCGAATAATAATTTCGGTTTGGTTTTCAATTTTGACAAAAATCAAAATCGAACTAAACGTAACCCACGCCTAAAATCACCAATCCATTTGGAGTTTAACGAAAAAAAAAACAAAAACTCCACACTATCCCAATACATACAGGCCATAGTGTCCACATTTTCTTACGCAACCAAAGATTTGTAATATGGTCTTAATTTTTTTTTTTTAATTATTATAATTAAAGGGAGGGGGAATGATTTGAAAGTTATAATAATTTAAGAAATGAAAGAGTTTCGAACTCAAGACATATCAATAAAAACTCAACACCTTATCTACTAAAATATTGGACCAATGCAAAATAAAAATGTCCCAATACATACAAGTCAACCTCACAATTTACGCACTATAGCCGTGATGACATGCCACTTTTATCAATCTGACCTTTGTGGCGAAAAGCCTATTAATTCAACCTTTGTGGTGAGCTCTGTTAGCAATTGAGATCCAAACCCAAATCCTCGTGGTGAAATGTATTGCACAATTAGAGAATTCAAGACAATGGGTGAAAGGCATTGCAAAAAATTCAATCTTCATATCTGCCTTCCGCATGTGAACTTCAAGGGCGTAAGCAACTTAAAGAATCAAAATTCAAAGAAGATTAAGGAAAAAATTGAAAGGTTGTGTGCTGGCCAACTACGGCCTGCATCAAACCACACTACCAATTAAAGATAAAATTGAAAGGCATATATGCATTCAGAATAGTACAAATTGATACAAGAATGCAAATTCAAGTGAAACTAAGACTCTAACTCATGATCAAAGACGTGTTGACATTGACAAAAACAATGGTTTATTAGAAGTATTAGGATTTCCAAAAGAAATTAAATCATACCTAAGAAATTAGGCACGACCACCTCTTCTCCCAGCCATTGATGTGGTTTTACAGGTTTAGTTTCACTCTTTGCGTTCAAGCCTTTTTTTTTTTTTTTGGTAAAATCTAATTTCAGTAAAACCCTAAATCATACTAGATGTCCATAGAATAGGATGTAATTTGGATTGAAATGACAAAATTGACCCTCCATGTGATAGTCATGTGAGTTTATTTAACAGAAGACTAATGAAAGCTTGGAGTTGGACCTCAATTGCCAATAAGAGAATGATATAATTTGATACTTTAGAGACTATTAATAAAATTAAATAAATACGTGTATTAAAATATTTCTGGTTAGGATTTAGGGACATGCGATTTTGACATCTATTTGAAACACTTTTTTTTGTGAGGCTTACTTCCGTAATGTATTTCAATAATCTAACCGTCAATTTTTTATGACCAAACCACAAAATCTTTGAATTTTGCTTACTCTTATCAAGGAGATCCAGTCTTAGGTCAAGCTTTATTTGGCCCTATTTTAAATGTGTAAGGTCTGAACCTTGCATTTTAAGGTCTTATTACTTTTTCTTTTATTTAAATTATTGAAAGGCCGAAAGAGTAGAGTTTAGGGGTTCACTGATAGGCCCAAATTTTCTCGGCCCATGAGATGGGCTAGGACCTTACATATTTGACATAGGGTGTGGCTGGCCCATTTTAAAGGACACAAAATAATGGTTATCTTGCGTTGCACCTTGTTAATTTATTGCTTGGTCTTGTAGTTGTGGGTAGGTAAGCAAGATATATGACTAATATTGAGAGGTAAGCTTTCTTTCATATATATATATAAGAGAAAATTGTAGCAATGGTCCTTCAACTTTAACCCAAATGGAGCAATCGTCACTCAACTAAAAATTCATAATCATTGGTCCCTTAACTCATCAAAACGTGCAGCTATGATCTTTTTCGTCAACTCTGTCAAAATTCCGTCAAAATAAGTCATGTTGGAAAAACCATCACTACAATTGGGTTAAAGTTGAGGGATCATTGCTCCAATTGGGTTAAAGTTGAGAGACTATTTCTCTAATTGGGATAAAGTTGAGGGATCATTACTAAAATATTTCTCATTTGGATTTCCATATTAACCCTTGATTCAGCCTCACCTGCATGACATGTAACTCATTTTGACGAAAGTTTTAACCAAGTTAACAAGAAGGACCATAATTGCATGTTTTGATGAGTTAAGGGACTAATAGTCGTAGATTTTAGTTGAGGGACCATTGCTACAATTTCCTCTATACATAATGCTTGAATTCTTTGTTATTCATATCTAATACTATGGTCTAGTGGTATTCCTCTTCACTTGTAAGTGAAAGGTATTAGGTTCTATTTTCGTGAAAGGTGAATTTGAACCACATTATCGCTTGTACAAAATAAATAAATAAAATTATTACAACTAAATCCCTTTGTTTATGGGGACGGGGATAGAGATGGCAAAATTTTTGTGGAGCCAGAGATGGCAGGGCAATTCCGACTCCGGCCCGACGTGTTGTCATCCTAGGGACGTCGATGTAGTTGCCCTTGTAACTTAAATTTTAAGTTTCCTCTATGTGGTATTTGCCAAATGCTTGAAATGTATACAGTTTGAGTGGGAGAAGAACTTAGCAAAACTGATAAATTTGCAGTACAATTACCTTTCATCATAAAATTCATCGACAAACATCGTACTCAGAAGGATTCGGGTGAAACTGTGAAATTACATATGAAATAGGGTTGTGATTTTCACAAACCCTTAACTACTTTTCCTACACCCCTTCCTATTTTTTAATACTTAATTGGTATCCTACTATTTAATCTTCCATATATACACTTTCTACTTTTTGATGGTAATTAATGAAAGATTAAATACGGAGGGGTATATATGGAAGATTAAATAGTAAGATACAAATTAAGTATTAAAAAATATGGAAGGGTATAGGAAAAGTAGTTAAGGGTGTAAAAATCACAACCCTAACAATATAATGATATTTTGTACTCTTCATACAACTCGTTATCTCTTCCAGAGTCTCCCAGAATCATTCACATATGCCCGTGTCACTGTGTGAAAGTCTTCAGAACTGCCCAACTATTACAATAAATTGATAGTTCCATAAACATTAACTCTATATATAACTACATCACACAAGACTTTCATGAGAGCTCAACAATTTTCGGTCGTTTTTGGGACCGATTGTTACCAGCATCTTCACTCAAAGAATTATCTTTATCCGACTTGCGTGTTTTGAGTCTTGCATGAGAGGTTGTTTTCTTATCCTCCTTATCAATTGTATCATCTTTGATTTCATCACTATCTTGGTCGTCATTATCATTGCTGCTACTATCATCGGAACTATCTTCATCGTCACTATCATCGCTGCTGCTGTCATCATCACTGCTATCCTCTGATTCCTCTCCGCTACTGTTTACGACCAATGGTATAACAGGCTGACAACCAACAATTGCAGATTCAGCAGCAGCCACAGCCTCAGGAGTTTGAAGATCAGCAACGCCCAGCATCAACTCCTGTCAATTTAGATCCACCCACAAATCAATTATTATCCAAGGGCATCGACAATCTGTGAGCGTGTATGAGTATGTGTGTGCATGCACGAGAGCAAGAGCGAAAGAGAGATAGGGACCATATTAACGACTCGAGATTCATTTCCAGTGAGCACTTCAATATCATAGTTTTCTGGATTATCCTACATATCAGTAAATGAGAAAACACAGGTTATGTGTTTTAAAGGATGTTAGAATTGGGATAAACAATCTAGATTTGGTTGCAAGATCAATACGCCAACCTTTGCATCCTGCTTTAGTCGTTCGTTTGCTTCTGATATGACTCCCAAGAAGTCCCTTACTTGTCCCAAAACTGCAGCCCAAGCAAGCAAATAATGTGAACAAAATTTTGCAAGGTACTTCTAACAAAACAATACTACAAATAAAACAGAAGCAGAGAATCTCAAGTACATGAGAAATTGAAAACTTATGTCTGAGCCAAAAAAAAAGGGGCAAGGCAAAACAGTTTAGAACATCCGTCTCTTCGGCCTCAGATTTGATACTACAACATTCTCCAATCTATTTCAAATTTCTATCGTCACCATTTCTGATCATCAATGAAGACTTCAGTTGCCTAAAACAACTAAATGCTTGGGGCATAGGCTTGCCCAATTGCAGAAATCCTCTAACCTGAGATCATGCCACACATTTGATTTTTCTCCACGCTAAACCATTCTTACGACCCCTTCACGACATACACAATCATCAGCTAGCGTATAAAGCATCACATTGACTACTAAACATTTGTGAAAATTCAACTAGAACTAAGTAAAGCAAGTTCTCTAATGAAAGAGAGAACGAAAAACTAATTGACATGTAAAGGTAGAAATTCTCTACTGAACCGGAAAAATATGAATAAGGAAACAATGTATGAGAAACAGAATTCCAAGGTAAGGTATGTAATTGATTGTAGTGGATAGACATGAACAGAGATTTCAAGCCAATCTCAAGCCGAGAATGAAGTACTTACTACCCTCTAGCTCAAGCAAGATTCTTGCCAATGAACCAAAAGAGGAAGAAAATAATAACACCAGGGGCTAAGAAAAGGTAAACAGCACAAAAATAATCCCATCTCGTCGAATTAAACTATGAAATTTCAGCGCAGGTTTATGAAGGATGAGACTAACCCAATGACAGGGGACTTGAGTCACACCCTTCTAAGTTATAAGTTATAACTCAAACCACTACAACTTAGTAACTTAGCAAGTTCGAACACAAAATATAAATACAGGAAATGTAAAAAGGAGACAAGCAGCACAGGCGTTATGCTGATTAACTGATTAGCGTCGAGACCTTGTATAAAAGAAATTAAGCATCCATCACCAAATTATAGACCCATTTGAGAATTAAACATTATTTAGCCGGCCAAGTAGAAACCAACAGAGAAAATTACCAGCTGGAAAATAAAAACATTCATATATGTGCCCATCATATCAAATCGATCTCAGATTCAATCTCTTACCAAGAACCCACAATTCAAATTCCTTTAAATTGAAGTTTTCACAATTGAAAAAAAAAAAAACCCCAAATTTAAATGGGAAAAAATCGAGAACCTTGGCTTTTGGGAAGAGGAAGAGCAGGGCCGGGTTTCCCTTCGGGTTGGGCTTTCTTCGTTGAGGCATTTTTACAGACAAGTAGCGTGCTTTCTGCAAGAGAATACACCGAGTAAGCTGCATGAGTTTCCACAGAAAGCGAGCGAGAGAGAGAGAGAGAGAGAGAGACCTAAAGGTGAAGTTGAAGCCTTTTTGTGCTCGAATTGCAGAAGGTCCTTGCTTGTATTTCCCATCTTCCTCTCTGTCTGTGCACTCAAAGGGCTTAGGGTTTTTGGCTGCGACAACATTTAACGAAACGGCAATTTTTATTTTCTTTAATTCTAATTTTGCTGCATTAGAATTTTAGATCATGTAATGGGCTTGATTAATCCGCAACACGGGCCTTCAGACCATTTAATCACTATGGGCCTTTTTTTCTTAAAATATGGGCCTTTCTTGATTGGGTCACTGTTCTGTCATCACATTTTTCAGGAAAAAGATTGTTTAGCGACGTTTCGTGTTTTATCGTACTCGTGTTGGGTGAAAATATTCCCACCACAAATTCAATCTCTTAACAAACGATATTCTTTACAATTAAAAGGAGGGGGTTAGGAATAATCTCACAATGAGCTAGAAAAGGTCAATCTGTTCATAAATTTAATCTTATGGTATTTGTCAATTTTACTCATTAATTTTTTTTTATTTGTCGATAGGATATAAAATTTTAAATATACCGCATTATGCAACATTTATAAAAACGTGTATTGGAGTGTTAAATGTCTTGAATAATCAAGAATCCGACCAATTAAGAAAGAAATGCATTTTTATCATGTCAACTCGTTACACATCTGACTTAATAAGGCCAAATACAAACCCTTCATGAAACATGATTTGTGTACTGTTATCGTCATATTTAATTTTGTCAGTCTAGTAGGATCACCCACCACTTCTTATGTAGAATACGGGATGAAAAGATCATTAATGATATATTTAAATCACGAATTAAAGATAACAAAATTCATTATGATCCGTTAATTTAATAGCATCTAATCTCCACTTTATTGTAAGTCTTGAGTTCAAATCCCATGCACAACAGGCACTCGTTGATTAATGAAGTATATAAAATCTCATTTACCATATTTAAACTAACAATCTGCATGATCAAAGTGGAAATTGGTGCCACTAAATTAGAATAATTATTGGAAAGCCCTTTAATTTTTTTCATGGAAATCAAAATAAAATAAAAAAAACAAGGTTTTCTACCACTAGAGTAGTCAGAGGCCCTACGAATACATCCTTTGCCTTTTCTTTTAAATTCAATATAACCAAAAAGTGAAGAAACATTTTGGCATCTTGCAAAGGAAAAACAAGCCATATGCCAAAATTAATTAAGAGAGTTTATGAATATTGATCATGTACCGGATTCTTGGTCAAGCTTTAAACTCCTTGTCTTGCCATCAGCTGAAGGAGGCATCTACGATGCGAATCGATATCAAGTAAGAAAAAGCCCAATAAAGATGATAATCCTGTTATTGTCAGTCATGGTTTTGATTCTGGTTTCTTGGAGGAATACATACATACATACATACATACATACATACATACATACATACATACATATATATATATATATATATGTATAGGTGTTGATTGCATGGGAGGCGGAGTGGAAAATGCATGGGAACAAAGAACATTCAATCATAAAAGAGAAAATGTGCTTTTCTATGAGGAAGAAAATGGGCAAGTTTAATATCTGTGTTCATATTTTATTTACTGAAAATTTGATATTACCCCTTGAAACTATATTTTCCTCTACTAAAACTCATCTCCTTTTTTTTTCTTGAATAAAGCCCATTGACTAACCTTCAATCAAACAAATTTTTTAATTAAGTTTGAATTTTCAAATTGTGTATTTTTCGAATGCCTACCCCTATTAATACTTGGATGGGGTTTTTGGATCAGTTACTTGTTATATCCATTTAATTAATTTTATATATTTTACAAAATAATTCATGCCATTCATTGTATATTCAATGTATTAACTTTCAAATTGTTATAACGTGCTAATTGAAAAATAATAATACTAATTTCATAATTTTGTGCATTACATATATAAGTTAATTTACCTACCAACACAACAATAAACCTAAAACAGCTTCGGCTAATATTCCAATCCCTAATACACAAAACAAAAGCTATATGTTCCGCACAATTCTTACCTACAAAATAGTCTAATTTACCTATTACATCAAACCAAAATTTAAAGGGTCTAGTTTACTTTCAAAATGGTCTAATTTACCTACAAGATTTATGTGCATTAGATTAAAAGTTTATTTAATTGCCTACAAGCAGAAACCCACAACATTCGAACATTATCTAATATCACTAATTTTTTTTTTTTTTTGGAATAGGTAAATTAATTTCAATGTAGGTAAATTAGTATAATATTAATAAGTAAGTAAATTAGTATAATATTAATAAGTAGGTAAATTAATTTAAATGTAGGTAAATTAGTATAATATTTTATAAGTAGGTAAATTAATTTAAATGTTGGTAAATTAGTATAATATTTATATGTAGGTAATTACATGATTCAAAATGCAGGTTTATTAGTATAATATTTTATAAGTAGCTAAATTAATTTGTATGTAAGTAATTACATAATTCAAACAATATTATTTTTTCCGTACAAGATTGTCTTTCTCTTTTAAATTTGGTAAATTAATTTATATATGTTGCTAATATTTATGATACAAGAAAGGTAAAATATCCATATGGATTTAATTGCTCATCATAATTAGGATGAGTAATAACATTTATTGACCAAATTAGGATTCTATGGCATAAGTTGTAATTGTATTGTAATAGTTGGTCATATATTTGTCTACATGGTAGGCTATTTGAAATTTGGGTTTTATTTGAATGTTTAAATTTAGATGGGTTTTTATTTGCAAAATAGGAGTTTCAAGGGTCTATATCTAAAGAACCCAGTGTTGGAAAAATAAAACAAGTAAACAAATTACTTGTATTACACTCACAAAATATTATAACACAACAATTCTTAAAGACACAATTTAAAAGTTATGACACTCTCTCACTTTTTAGAGACAAACTCTAAATCACTCACTCCACGCAAAACTACTCTTGCTTCTCACTCTCACTTGGTTTGCTTGCCTACTTGCTACTCTTACTTTCTTACTTAGTTGCTTTCTTCCTTCTTAGTTTTTAGTTTCTCTCTTCTTAGTTACTCTCTCTTGGCTCATTTCATCCTAGTAGCAATAAGTTGTTCTAGACTTTTCTACAAACAAAAACATTTTTCTAGATTTCTACTTCTTTACACAAACAGCCCACCAACATGCGCTTCACATTTTACTAACCTTCTAGTTATACTTTGGTGCTAGAATTGCCTAGCATTTTCAATGCATGCACTGCCACCTCACATGCATATTTGAACTAGAACAATTTAGTTTCTTTGTACCAACTGATCTTAATAAGCTGGTGTTAATCTTTAACATCGAAATTTCGGTTCATGAACTAATTCATGAGTATTAGTCTTTGAATTACTCACAGTGTGAAGTAATAGTCATTTTGAGTAGCTATTGAAAGTTCCATCCAAAATAAGAGTTTTAAAGGGGTAAAAAAAAATTGGAAGTTCTAATTATATTTCCCAAACTAGTGTTTTATATTGTAATAAGTTCAAGTACTATTGCTCACATGTTTATAACTCAAGCACTAAGACTTCAATTAGACTAAAATTTAGGGACTGGTCCAATTATCTCTTTATTAGTGTAAAATATTGTTGTTGGATAAAAAAAATAATAATAACAAAAAAAAAAAAAACAAAAAACAAAAAAAACAAATGCCAGCAACCGGAGATGGACTCTTGGAGGCGAAGGAGCCCAAAAACTAATCTGATCTAGTTTATCGTCGCAACTTCTCCTACGCGGGCGGTTCCAGCAATGACCTTGGAAAGGTGTTTCAGCTGTGGTGTTCTGTAAAAGGGGCGGAAGTTGTCTGAAAAGAGGGTCACAACATCGTCAATCTTATGGGTCTTTACGTCCGGTTCCATAGCTGCAACCGCGTCTTTCCAAACGAAAAGGTAGTCTTTCACTAGGACTAGGAAATTTGCTAAAATTAAGAGAGAAAAGAATAAAACACTGTAAATAAAGGAATTTCATTCCTACACGGATATGAATAACTATAAGCTGCAGTCCTATAAATAGAGCATTGACATCCCAGAATTGAATATCGACCATTTATCTTTCTTTAATCTTTTGTGCATATAATTAAAGAGAGGGATGAGTGATCTATTTTCGGTTTATCAAAATTTGGGTGACTACCTCTTTTTGAGAAGCTGGTTCCCTTTCTTCAAGCTCAAGAAACTATTACCTCTTGAATTCTTCAAGACATCAGACGTTGAGTACTGTAGGTGGCAGAGAACACATTGTGGTATCTTGGAGATTGTTGTAAGGCGCCTGAATTTAAGTGATCGAATACGCTTAGGCTTATCATGCAAGTCTTGGGCGTCAGTTTGTATGCCGGGAGACGTCCGTGGTGCTCAAGAGCTCCCCTGGTTATTACTCCCTCGAATCTGTGACGACAGCATGAGGTTTCTCAGCCCTTTCGATGGCGGCAAATTTCACAAGTTGAGGGTGCCAGAGCCAATACAAAGAGGGAGGTTATTTGGTTCTAGTAAAGGGTGGTTATTTATGGTCAGAGAAAAGCAAAAAGATATGTTTCTATTCAACCCTATTTCGGGAGCCCAACGCCAACTTCCATCCTTGACAACAATTCCATCTTTCCAAAATTTTGTAGAAACAAAAGCATGGAAACTTCATGGTGCCTCCATTTTCTGCGTTCATACTGTGTTATCTACCTCAGATGTCGATCATCCAGGATGCATGGTGGCGGCAATTTTTGGTTCGCATGTATTGGGTTTATGTAGACCTGGGGACAAAACATGGAGTGTCTTTGAGGTATTAGATGAAAATGAGGGTCATGACCAGTTATTGTTTTCCAGTACAGGAAAGCTATACTCTCTGGTGACTAGTGAAACTAAGAATGAGCTTATTGTAGCTCACAGCTTACAATTTGGAGATGATCATGCAGTGGAACTGATGTTGATATATGATAATATCGAACCGATTGAACCAGACATTTATCATCACGAGTGCTACACAGTGACGTACAATGGCGCATGGAAGTCCTTCTTATTGGAATCAACCAACAATGAAGTCCTGTTAATCCATAAATGGCATCATATTTTTCAAGCTCCAAGAAACGCGGACAATGAGGATGGTTATGATCAGGTGGAACACAACTTTGATGATAATTATCAAGATGACCAGGATGATGAGGTGGAAGAAGAGGAGAATGGCAAATATTTCAGCGACAAAGAATTTGACATTGATACTGAAGAGGAGAATGTCATATATTCCAGCGACAATGAATCTGACATTGATAGCGAAGACGAGAATACCATATATTCGAGCGACAATGAATCTGACATTGATAGTGAAGACAAAAATGCCATATATTCCAGCGACAATGAATCTGACATTGATGACGAAGATGAGAATCTCAGATATTATAGGGCAAGTTGCTTTCGAGTATTCAAAATTGACGCTGAGAGTAGCAAATTTATTGTTGTACAAAGTTTGGAGGGCCAAGTATTATTTTTGACTGACTGTTCTTCCTTCTCTCTTCGGGCGAGTGATTTTAGAGAGTTAAACAGCAATTGCATTTACTTTGCTGATAATTCAACCCATTCAGTAGTTCCAAAATTATTTACATATCCTGAAATCGGCGTCTTTTCTTTAGATAATGGAAGATTTGAGAGATACTTTATCAATATTCCAACAGGGCCTCGGACCATCAGTTGGATTGTTCCAAGTCTATGATACACAGACGATTTTGGGTTACATATCTAAGCATTAACTACTTTGTAATTTTTATCTTTTTATTAGCCAACTTGAATTATTTATCTACTAATTATTATTTTACATATAATTGTAGTTAAATTAAGTTGAAACTTGAACCAAGTTTTATCAAGTAAATTATCAAGTAAATTTGACAGAGGAACCAACTCCGTAATTAACTGTCGCGTAATCAGTTGGAAAGCATGGTCAGCGAATCAGTTGGAATCTGTTATAATCCCAACACACCGCCCCATTTCTTTTCATTCGTCCTTTCACCTCCGAAAGCAAGCAAAGTAGAGCTCCCGATCAATTTCTTGATTTTTCAGCTTTTCACCACCGCCACCGCCACCGCCCACCCCATCAATCACCACCACCCTTGCCCACCCCATCAATCACCCTCTCGAGTCAAACACCTGGTTGTTTCAATTCCAATGACATGTGACTGCAAGGGGCCTCCAAAGATGAAGATGCCGTCACAAGGGAAACTGTTGAGTAGGGTTGAAGAATGCGGCGAGAAGAGGGAAGCTGCAAGAAGAAAAAAAATTCAATCTGTCGTCAGGAAAAGAGAGAGACCAAGAAGATGAAAGGGAGTAGGATTCTCTTCCCTTTTTTTTCCCTTCTTCCCTCGTTTCCTCATTTTCTATTTGAACGATTACGGTTAAGTCATGTTAATATTTTATATTATTTTTTATAAAAAATAAAGACAAAATAAAAAATATGAGATGTGAAAATGAAAGAAAATTAAAAAATTAAAAAATTAAAAAAAGGAAGAAAATCCTAATCCGAAGATGAATGCATGCAAGATGATCTTCCTAACAATAATAAAAAAATAAGAAAAAAAAGGAAGAATCCTAGTCCAAAGATGAATGCATGCAAGATGATTTTCCTGACAATACGTTTCATGCTTTTACCAGTCAATACATATAGTCTAGGCTTTAACGCCAAGCCCTAGCCCTCTATATCTTCTCTCATTAGCCTCTCTTTTCCAATTTCTCTCTTCTTTCTTGAAAGAGGATCTTCTTCTGAGCTCAGGATGGAGATTCTCCTAACTACGAAATCCAGGCCGTTCAAATTTAATCTAATGGTTTCAATTATTATAATTTTTAGAAGACCTTCCTGTTTGGAACCGTTGGATTAAATTTGAACGATCCGAATTTTGTGATTAGAAGGATCTTCTCCTGAGCTCAGGAGAGGATCCTCTTCCTTCTTTCTTAACATGTCCAATCACTTTTCCACTCTCCCTTTGTTAAAGGAGGTCATGGGTAATACAATATCTTCATCTCAAGGAACCTTTGTTAAAGGCAAACAAATTATGGATGCAGTCCTCATAGCAAATGAGGTGGTAGAAGAGGTAAGGCAGAAGAATGAGGAGGGTTTGGTCCTTAAGATCGATTTCGAAAAGGCTTGTGACTATGTCAAATGGGGATTTTTGGAAGAAGTCTTACTTAGAAAGGGGTTCACGTATAGATGGAGGAAATAGGTGCTTGGCTCTTTAAGTTCAACAAACTTCTCAGTTATGATGAATAGGAGACCTATGGGAATACTCAAAGCTTCAAAAGGTTTAAGACAATGAGGCCCACTGTCACCTTTTCTGTTCACCCTAGTAGTAGACGTGTTGAGTAGATTGTTCGAGAAGGCACAAGAAAATCACTTGATCAAAGGGTTGTGTATTGGGCAAGATAATGTGGAGATCTCTCATCTTCAATTCGCGGATGACACCATCTTCTTCTTGGCAAGGAAAGAGGAGGGTTCGAACAATTTATTAGAATTGCTGCATCTTTTTGGCATGGTTTCAGATTTGAATATTAACAAAACAAAGTGTTCCTTAGTGGGAATTAACTCTGATTATGAGAAAATCACAAGGCTAGCAAGTTCTTAGGGTTGTGAGGTATCTAGGTCTTCCTCTTGGGGGAAGGCCAAGAACTATTAAGTTCTGGGACCCAGTGGTAGAGAATGTGGAACTGAGACTTCAAGGTTGGAAGAAAGCGTTCTTATCTAGGGGCGGAAGATTAACCTTGATTGAAGCTGTCCTGGGAAGCTTGCCAATCTACTACATGTCTTTGTTCAAAGCTTCTTGCAAGGTCATTGGTAGGTTGGAAAAGCTAATGAAAGGGTTTCTTTGGGAATGGGTAGAGGAAAGAAAGAAAAATCACCTAGTCAAGTGGGAGGTAGTAAGCAAAAGTAAGGAAGAATGAGGCTTAGGTCTGGGAAACTTGAGAAATCGGAATGCAGCATTACTAGCCAAGTGCTTGTGGAGATTCCCATTGGAATCAAACTCTCTTTAGCATAAGGTGATAAGGAGCAAGTACGGTTTGGAGGAAAATGGTTGGGATGCTAATTCCCCGAGTCGAGGCTCGTGTCGAAGTCCTTGGTCAGATATCTCAGTTGGTCTTCCTTTTTTTCTACACTCTTGCAAATTTACGGTTGGCAACAGAGAGAGGTTAAGGTTTTAGAATAATGGCTGGTTTGAGGGTGGACCGTTGAAAGAGCAATTCCTAAGATTATTTTTGTTATCAAGGACAAAAAACCAAAGCATTTCCAATTTTGTAGTTTCTTCTCTTCAGCCAGTTAGCTGGAATTTTGATTTCAGAAGAAATCTCAGTGAAACAGAGATAGAAGAGGCAGCTGGTTTACTACAAAAGATGGAGTCCATGCGGCTGAGTCAATCTAGAGAAGATATTGGAAGATGGAACTTAGAAGGATCAGGCCTGTTCACATGCAAATCCTATAACTCTTTTCTATGCAACAATGAAGATGTGCAACACTTTCCTCCTTTCTCTCAGATCTGGAAAGCAAAAGTGCCTTCAAAAGTGTAAATTCTTGTGTGGTTAGTGGCGCTCGTGAAGGTTAATACGTGCAATCAAGTCCAAAGGAAAATGCCTTTTACACACTTTTCCCCACACTGGTGCGTTTTGTGTATGTCCGGGGAGGAGAGCGTCAATCATGTCTTCCTTCACTGTTCGTACAGCATACAACTGAGGTGGAAAATGCTCAAGGAAGCTAGAGGTTGTTAGGTCCTTCCAAAGGGTTGTTTCGACCTTCTAACACCCTAGGAAAATGGAGGAAAGCGAAAGCCTTGTGGGGCTCTCTGCTGTTTGCAATTTTCTGGAATATTTGGTTGGAGCGTAATAAAAGAGTTTTTGAGGATTACAAGGGAGTGGGGGTAGATGAGTTTTAGGATAGAGTAAGACATTGGGCAGCTCTTTGGGCTTAAGTTTCAGTTGAGTTTAGAGATTAACCTCTCTCTTCTATACTAAGGGATTTGTCAACAGCTATTAAATGATACAATTTAGCCTTACCATTGTTTAATTAGCATTATCTTAAAGGTCCTTGCTACTTACTCCTGGTTCTAGGTGGAACTCTTTTCCACTTGTGTAAATTCTCTCTTTTATATAAATTTCTTTCGTTTCTTCTCAAAAAAAAAAAAAAAATACTAAAATTAAAAACAAATTTATTCTCGATGGGAAACTGCTTCTACCGTCCAACTGTTTCACTCCGAAAGACGTCCATTTGCAGAATTTATAAATTCTAAAAATAACCGCAAAGTCAATGCCATTCATCCATCCTACTCTTAACACCATAGGTTGGATGGGTCAGAGCTTCATCATCGTCCATTTCCGCAATTTACTGTTTTGGAAGATGCGAATACGGTTTTGCTTGTGGTGAAATGAATATAGATGGGATTTTATTTTCTTTTCTTTTCTGGGGCGGGCTGTTAGTTATGTGAGTCGATATATTTTTCCAAATCTTTTTGATTTTGTGGTGTTCTAAGGTTTTCTTTTGTCTTTTTCATCCCGAAAAAAATGGGAATTTAGTCTTGATTTTTACTGTCACTTTTCTTTTGTGTTATGAAATTATACTTGGGTGTCTAAAAATGAAACCTCGATTTGTGTTCTAGACTTTTAATTTGACATACATGTGATCGCTAATGTTCCAAACACTACAGAAAGAAAGAAAAAAAAAAACACATTGGCAAAGTCGATGATAACTAATCAGTTGGAGTTTCTGTTATAATCCAAACACACTACCTAATGATTGATACCAGCCCATTTTTGTTAATTTCACGCTTTTGATCTCCGAGGCCTTTTGTCGATGCCTTTTGTTAAAACCCCTTACCATTTAATCTCCCGAGTGGCTAATGATATCGGCAATGTTAACTCGTGTGAGTGAGCCCCGCTACTATGTTTCCACACAACATGCTCTACAAAAGAGACACATTTTCTGAATCAGAAACAGTCTATGTATATAGCAAAAGAAAATTGAAAATATGAAAAGTTCAATTAAAGTGAAAGAAATTTTGCATTGTATCTGAAACACTAGTGATATACCACATGTTATTATATAAGTGGTGAAAAAATTTATTTTTTAAGTTGTTAATTTTTTTAACACAAGTATTTCGTCACTTGTATAATGACACGTAGTATACTCCTTCCGTATTTCGAGCACACTAAAATATTTCTTCAAAGTGAGTGAAGTGAACCTTTTTTTTTTTACCCAAACCATTTAAAGTAGTAGAACCATTTTTTTGTCCTCTTTCTCCCCTCCTCTCGTATCCCTGTCCCTTTTTCACCCTATAAATTGCAAATGAATAATCTAACAAAATATTTAGCACCTTGATGGACTTAAAAATTTGACATATTCGCACAGAAACAATTTTAACACAAAAATAAATGAACAGAGAAGGAAGAGACGGATAACGTCTTACTTCCGAAAGAGTAGTTTATAATCTGCTTATTTGGTGAGATAAAAATTTGAGAAATTTATTCTTGGTGCAAATTGCAAAAGGAAACCTACCTCCCCATGAAAATGCCTCCTTTTAGTATGTGGTTGTACGTGTCTCCAAAATGTTCGAAGTCGCTTCTCTTCCTTCGATTCTTCCTGCGAACAAAAAAACTTAGAGACTCCAAAATTGACCTTTGCCATTCTAATATTAGAGATTAAAGATTTTCACTTTCATTTTATATCTACCAACTAGGCCACGTGGTGGCACACCCACACATCTAACCAAAGAATGATCAATAATCCTTCTAAGTCACATGATCCGGCAGTAAAAGGAAAATAGCGCGTAGTTTTCATTCATTTCTACTATACAAATATAGGTTACACTTTCACATCCTTTCTTCGTTGACCAATCTAGGCCATGTGGTGGAACGCCCACAGATCCAACCAAAAAATGTTTAGTAATCCTTCTAGATCCGCCGGTCCGACCGAAAATAGGGAAATAAAGATGATAGTGAACCTTTGGGAGACTATATATGATAGTGAAGGAGCCCTATGTAGTAATCCATCTTTATTCATGGAGCTTGCCTATGTACATTACACTCACACATTTTCAATTCACGTACAAAAACTCCAATTAGACTAAAAATTAAGGATTATTGATCCAATTATCTCTTTATTTAGTGCAGAATATTTTGCGTATATAAATAAAAAATAAATAAATGCCAGCATCTAGTGATGGACCATTGGAGGCAAAGGAGCCCAAAAATTATTCTGATCTACTTTATCATTGCCCAACGACTACTGTAGAAATGGGGACATGTATGGGCCCTCCCACGTTGTAAGATTTGGCCCAAATACGAGGAAAATCGTATATAATTTTTTTTCTTTTTAGTACATCGATATATTTTTACACTAAAGAGAATGAGAGTTCAGCTAAGGTACATAATGTACTACTTAATTTGTTATCGGATTTGTTAGCCAAGAGATTCAAACCTAAGACCTCTCATTTTCAAGTAAAGAAGAATATCACCAGACTGTAATAATTGAACAAAGAGTTGAGGAATACCACAAGGAGTATGTGATTGTGTTGCCATATATTGTCTTCTTCCAAGCTCACTACATTGTTCTTCTTTCGAAAATTCTAGCATGAATGCTACACGCCAACGCACCAAACATTGTCCACAAATTGCCACTTACCATGACGTTACTACATTTTTCTTTCCATAGTATATAATGTTGATGCCAAACTAGAGCAACCAGATTAGACCGCAAATCACATAACTATCCAATGATATACTGATTTATTCGAAGTCGGATTACATTCATATTAATGTAGTTACATTTGTATGGATGCATAAGAGCCTTTCAGGAAGTAAAAATGATAGCGAAAGAGCCCTAAAGAGAAATCCGTAATGATTTATGTTTAGCCCAATCTATGGTACCGACATATGACATTTTAAAAATTGATTTGTTGCAACATTGATTTCATGATCAGTTATGCTTCAGAGCCTTATGATTTGAAACTTATAACTGTTTAATAGTGTATTTGAAAATTTGTAAAACGACCAGTGAAGTTAAAAACTCATTGCACTGGTGGCTCTTTTGTCCACTTGACCATCAAGTTAAACGCTACTTTTTATTAACATCAATATCATGCGTAAAGCTCTTTCCACATAAATTTATTATGGTCTTCAAACACTAGGACAACGGGTCACTTAGTACTACATTCTAATATTATTCTTCTTCATTTGTAAGTGTGAGGTTTTAGCTTCGATTCTCGCCAAAGATGAATTTGAACTACATTATTGTTCGCCCATTGTGAAGTTAAGCACAACTCCTTCTTCTTTAATGAAAATAGTATCATTTGTTAAAATAAAATAAAAAAACCACGAGGGTGACAACATGAACGCTAATTACTAGTTACTACCTACAAATACAAGTTACTAGTTATTCGTTTCTTCATTGGAACTAATGTTGACATTAGATCCGGTCATTCTCCACTGAAGTATAGAAACTCCTCTCTCTCTCTCTCTCCACCCGCGTGTGACAGAGAAGTGCTTTGACATCCACGACCCCCGCCTTTTACTTTGACTCCAACTGCGTGCTTCTCAGGTACTTCCTTCTTCTTCGTCTTCCTCCATTATCTCTCTCCTTCTTTACATCTTTTCCATTTTTTTTATTTCTGCAGTAAGTGTATGTTTTTTTAGTAATTAATCAGTAATTTCCCATATTTTCCATCTATTAGTGTAGAATAGCTTCTTGCTGCTCACAATTTACTAATTTGGAAGATGGGTTTTGCTTGTGGATTAATAAGATTGGATTTTTTGGGGGTTTACGTGATTTAGGATCTTTCTGATTGATGGGGTGTTGTAGGGTTTGCTTGTGGGTTTACTTCGTTATCCAGTTATGATTTGGACGCTATCTTTCAGTTTCGTTGTTAATTTTCCACCATGTTTCTGGCTATGGGTTTTGCTTCTAGTAAAATTTGCCGCTTTCCTATGAGGAAGTGAATGGGTTAGCTTGGATTCTGAATTTCCCTTTTCTTTTGTGTAGTGAAATTAGTGTATTTGGGTGTATGTTTCTGGTGTTTTGAGTCAAAGTATGTAGAGAAGTAGGTGAATTTCTAAATTGGGGTCATCTTAATCGCGTCCTAAAACGTGCAGTTTGAGTGAGAGTTTAAACATAAATTGGGCGCACAAGGGATCTGTTTCGACAATGTTTAGTTTTCTTTTAAAGTTTTGGTGTTAAATTTGTATGATATGAAACCTAGATTTGTGTTCTAGACTTTTAATTTGACTGATTTGCATTGGTTGGGTATTGTTTTTAAGTTTATTAGTTTTACAGTTTGGAGCATAGGCAGGTTTCTGACACTATATTTTTTATGTTTGCGAATAGGGAGACGTAAAGATAGGAGTAGGGTACTAGGGGGCGTACATCATGATCAAGCGGGCACCGAGTAGGAACCAAAGAACCAAAGGAATCAGGGTGAAGCATGTTCTGCAGATTTGTCTGCTGCTTGGGGTCTGCTTTTGGTTACTCTATCAGGTCAAGCATTCCCACGATAAGAAAGTGGCATTAGATAAGAAAGATGAAAAAATCTCAACCGGAAGCCTGAGTGAGGGTGAGCTTCCAAAACTTGGGAGGAAAGACCTTCCAAAACTTGAAATCCCTAAAAATGAGAAACAAGAGGAAGAGGAGGAAGGCGAAGGAGCAGGAGAGGAAGACGAGAAACCTGAAGTAGATGTGCATGAAGAAGAGGATCAGAAACATGAAGTAGACGCGCATGAAGAAGAGGATCAGAAGCATGAAGTAGGAGAGGGAGAAGAAGAGGATCCAAAGCATGAAATCGGAAAGCGGGAAGAAGAGGATCTGAAGCATGAGGCAGAAGAGCAAGAGGAGGAAGAAAACAAGAACGAGGAGACGGAAGATGACGGAAGAGGAGCTGGAGATGATGAGATAGATGAAAATGAGCAAGAGGGGAAAGAAGGGGAAGTGGAACATGATGAGGAATTTATAGATGAGGAGAAAGAAAGAGAAGATGATGGGAATGAGAAAGATGGTGATAAGAAGGACGGTGAAGAGAGAGAGGAACAAGAAGAACATGAGAATTCATCAGATGACCAAGATAATGATACCCATGATAAGAATGCTCATGAAGCACGAGAGGAGAATTACAAGGGGGATGATGCTTCTAGTGCAGTGACCCATGATAATCAAGTTATAAGCACTGAAACTGAGAAAGTAAGTTCGGAAAACTCAAATGAGAACCCCGAAACTACTACACTAGAGAAGGACAATTCAACAATGGTGGAAGAGAGAATGGCTGGAAATGGTACTATTTTAAATGTAGCTACAAGTGAAGAGAAAGTTGATGGTAATATGTCCAATCCTGCCGAGAGCTCACTCTTAAATGCGATGGTGAAAACACAATCTAATGATCAATCAGAAGCAGCAGGAAATAACTCAACCGTGGTGAGTACCGAAGCTAAAGATAATTTGACAATGGTGAGTACAGAAGCTGGCAATAACTCAACAGATATCAACCAGGCAACTGGTTCATACCAGCAGAACTTAACAGAGACTGTATCTGAGTCAGCTCACTCTGAAAATGGAACGGTGGATGGTAGGACTACTGGAGAGGACGTGATCACACAAACCATGGTTGTGGAACAGGCTAACAACACAGTTGCTGAGAACAATGAATCTGTCTCAAATTCAACAATATCCATTAAAATTGAGAATGCAGATGGGGCGTCAGGAGAATCATCTAACTCCTCTAATACAGTAGCGACTAATGTGTCAGAGAATATCGTAAGATCTGATGGAGCAGCTGAAACAGAGGATGGTTCTGGATCTTCATCGATAAAGGAGACCACAGATGCCGCTCAGAATGAAGAGTCTAATGGTGCAAGTGAATCGGACAGGAGGGGTGAAGGTTCAGACTCCACAAATGGGACAGAGGAAACGACTCATCATGAGCCAATTGATTCTTCTGATTCCCATATCACCCAAGACGAGAAAGAGGCTCGCATTGATCTAACCACACTGCCAGAGATAACAACCGAGGGGGATGAGAATGGAGAGGTTGCAGCAGAATGATGATCATGGTTTTTGGTTTCTTCTGATGCTTCATGTTTTCATGCTTGCCTTTGCAAAGCAACTAGGTTAGTGTTTGTGAATTTTAATCCACGGCGAGAAAATCAATATAGCAGTTAAAAATTAAAATGTAGGCTAGTTTATATCAGCAGCAGGTTTAATCTGTAAAACCAAATCCAACCGTCCACTATGCTGTTTATTTGCACCTTTTATCTTTCTTTTCATCTATTCTTTTTGTTTGCTGTTTGTGTAAGTTGTAAGCTCCTGGGACGAAGCTCGTTATGCTTAAGAATGAAATTGAATTGTTGATCCAAGTTGAAAATTTGGATGTCCTTTGAATGATTGAATCGGAAAAAAAATAAGCGAATTGTTTTGCTGAGTTTTGAACAGTTTGTGCTTTGTTTTGGAAGCAGTTTCCTTTGACCTGTTGGTGGTCTCTGGTGTGCTGGAAAACGTAGTTTCGCCAGACGCTATGAAACAAAAACTTCTTGGTCTGTTGTATACTTGGTGGTACATATTGGCGTATAGATAAGTTTTGGCTTGACGTACGACAGTCACTATTTTTGAAGTGTTAATAATAGCTCTTACGTTTTACTTTCGCTTCGGCTTATAAAATGATGTTGTGGCACGTGAGCCCGCAGCACCAAATTCATAGAATGAGATTGCAGAGTTGTACGGCAAAAATATTCACCTCTCATGTCAAATTGTACACCAGCATGCACCACCTAGTATACAATAGACCAAGCAAAAGCCAGGCAAAGCATATGCTGGAGAATGATGCCGACTGCATCTCCTAGCTGTTTACAACGTCCGCTTTCTTACAAATCTTTATACACCTTCGAAACATGGGACTAAAGACCTTCCTTGAGCCGCTTTAAGTAAAGATGCCAAACCTCGCGAACATACAAACCTTCTTTGAAACAGGTTGTGCCTTGTTTTCGTCGTTGAAGACAACCAAACTCTCAAACTCTGACAAGTACACAAGCCAAACTTCATCCAACCTTCTAACAGGCGGAACTTGCTCGCGTTGCTGCCCTTCCAGCATGAGGTAACTCTGCGTCTTAAATGACAGCACAAATTTCAGGTGATAATTAAACCGAGGTAAAGAACGTTACGCAATGGCAGCTTACAAAGAAAGTGAAAACTCAGTGCATTCTGAACAGTTCGGAGTTCGAATTTCAAATGCTACACCAAATTTCATTGCAATAGCAGATACAAAATTGAAATTACAGTTGCAGAAAAGTCGAGGATGATTGAGAAGACGCTTAATCAACGTGTGCAAAGAAAACCGAGGCCGAAATCAGACGCTTCATTCTGATTTCAATATAGGTTGAGCTTGATGTGCATTCCATTGCAACAGCATCCAGATTATCGACGTGCCTGATCATGATCAGAAGAAAATTCATCGGATATTGCTTATGCAATTCAGTTCAACATAAAATAAGCAATCAGAAAAAAGCACCATCACTGGAAAGGGAAATTCAGAACTATATGGTATTACCATAAGACAGTAATTCAAACATCAACTAAGGGTTTACGGGAAATCCAAACACTATTTGTCATCAGATATTATCACATAAAAATAGTTTGCAAACAGTTGAAAGACATACAGATTCATTTTCAATTAAAAATATACTCTGTAATAGACTATGAATACACCGTTTTCTCTACTTCCTTTTCCATCAAATGAGCGAGAATCGAGTCTTGTTCTCTTTTAAAAGTGCCGATGGAACAAAATTTTCTTCTCCGAATAACTTTACTTCAGAAAAGGTGGCATTAGCAAAGTAATTATAGATCCTCTAATTCTTTCTCCTTCTTTTTTTCTGATAAGTTTCATCAGATATACAAATATTTGTCTTTAGTCCCGACTAGTGCTTGCAGCCCAAATTTAAGTGTGATTTATGGCATTTAAAAGCAACAGCAACATTCTTATGCTTTGAAATAAGTAAGTTCACATATAACAGGCTGTAGAGTAGATTTTTTCGATATCAAAAACTAATTGCTGCACATTATTACCAGAACAACATAGGATGCAAAGTAATATTGATGTAATATAGCCAAGTGAATTGATACCTGCAAAAAAGCCGACAGTTGAGAGATTTGCAATGGCCATCGTCTGATATATTAGGTACTCGGTCAAGAAATGGCCGAGTGCATAGACAAACGACAGAAAGGTAGCTAGGTACAGAGGCTTGTTTTCAAGGTTAAAGGCACAGAGATAGCAGAGTGTGCAAGTTAAAAGAGTCCAGACACCAAATGTCCTCCCATGAACTTCAGTCACTACAGAAAAAAGAATCAGAAATAAAACACATGAAAAATTAGGACACAATAAAAGTGCAAAGCGAATAGCTAAGAACCAGAAGCAGAAACTAAAACCGAACTCTACATTCTGCATTAGAAACATAATAGTCTCATAAGTAACAAAAATCACAAGGTTGCAAATGCTGATTCAGCAATGAACAATTTAGGAGGATAACTCTATGAGATAAGGGAACTAAGGACTACGAAGATTACGTGCATCCCTTCCATGAATTAGACAAAGCAAGTGTTGGGTTTTTCTCAGCATGAAAGATAAACTTCGGTGTGATCTTGAGATCGAATCTCAAATACAGTAGTAATACCTAATGAAGCTAGTGATCTGAGTTTTGGGTTTTTCTCAATACGAGAGAGAAACATCGGGTGTGATCTTGACATCAAATCTCGAATGCAGTAACAGTACCTACTGCCTCATGAAAGCTAGTGATTTGAGGCATTTAACATATCTAAAATCTCAAACAATCTGAACATCCACACAACGCCTTCATCCCCAAAGCACATATAATTCAAGTAAAAACCATCCCATTACGGATTTGCATCGAAAGAGACGACTCTCAAACTTTCTCAAACTTTACTTATGGATGAAATGTGACCCTTGGATCTCTCTGGATGTCCACAAAATCCATAAAATCAAATAGTTGAGAGCTTCCTTAACTTCCTCACACGATTAAGAACACAAGAGTTATAAATTCATATCCAACCAAACTCCCACATTGATCAACATTTGCTCTCTCTGCAGTGAAACGTACCACAAAAAATGGACAAAGGGGTTGTTTTTCTCAACTTTCCAAGTACCAAGAGTAAACCAGACAATTTTCTCGGCAACCAAACAGGAAAATTAATGGGAGTGAGATTTAGGTGAGAGAGAGAGAGAGAGAGAAGTGTATGTACTGGGGGATTTGGAGAAGACGGCGAGGCGGAGAGCCCAAATGTCGAAGAACCCGAACCAGACGGAGACCAGCCGGAGCGAACCTACTAGCATCAGCCACCAGCTTAGAGCCTTCATTGCAAGAGAGCTTGAAACCCCTAGCGGCGGCGTCAAAACAAAGCAAACCAAAACAAAGCAAATGAAGTCAGCAGAGCGGCGAGCAGCACAGCACCGGCAAGTCAGCCTTGTGCCGTGGAGTTTCCAGTATGTTCGGTGTTTTAAGCCTACACAATGCGTTTGATGGACGAGTAGGGATGTGGGCTATAAGTTCATTATCATGAAATCATTCAGCCCAACCACCTGGTCACTGGCCCTATTGTTTTTCTTTTTTATAAAAGCTAACGAAAAGTTTAAAAAAAATTAATTTTAATGAACAGTACCATAAGTGTTTTATTAAAATTATTTTTTTTAAGTAATTCTTTTTTTTTAAATTGATAATTACAATTTTATCCTTTTATCTTTAAAGAAATACTAAGAAATTAAAAATTATGTCATACTGGCCACTTGGTACTATCTTGTAAGTGAGAGGGTTTAGGTTCGAGAATTTGATACCAAATTAAGTTGTCCATTGTGCAGCTTAACTGAACTCCCATTCCCCTTAGTGTAAAATATATCGTTGTACTAAAAAAAAAAAAAAAAAAAAAACTATGCCATTCTAGGTGTTTGGTCTAGTGGTATGAATAAAAAAGGATGAGCTGGAGGCTTCGCCAAGACAGCCCACTCTTTTGAAGGACAAAAAGACTAACAGAGACATTTCAGCGTCCCATAGCCACCATCGTGCGATTCCCCATCGTCAGGAATTGAACCTAGGATGTGCCGTGTGGAATACGGGTTTAAAATTCATCACCAACCACTGAACCACCTAATTATTATTGGTATGATTTTTTCTTTAGATGTGAGGAGTCATGAGTTTAATTCTGGCAACATGTTTTTAATTCTTTTTCTTTTAAAAACAATCAAAGTTTATGTTTAGGCAGAACATGAGTGGGTGGACTGAGTAATATGATTCTTTTAATAAAAAAAGAGTTTAGTGGAAGATAAAAGAAGAGTTTAGTGGAAGATAAAAGAGGAAAGCGGTCAGCAATTCAGGAGTGATTAATAATCCCACCATTTTTCATATTTTAAATTAGCTGGCCTAAAATAATTTAGAGTTTAATAATTGTGCACAATGCCTTTTGGCAGGAGAAATAGAATAGTGCATGGGTTTGGTATCTCAAGTCACACCACATATGTTTTAAGTTCGAAATCTCTCTCTCTCCTTTCATAGTTTGTAAAAATAAAAAAAATTAAAAATAATAATAATAATAATAATAATGCACATTTTAAATATTTCCTTAATCGCATCCAAAATCGTAACAACCAAAGCTTGACAATTTTCTTGTTTTACAGAGGCTGAAATTGCTACAAGACAACAATTATACATTACTCTATAATACCGAAAAAACCGATGTTTATGTATTAGTTTGGTTTTGCGAAATTTTTGGTATTTGTTGCATTGACGTGTCTAACTTTCACAAAACCAAAAATTTCTATAAAAAGAAAAAACATAATTGTCTACCAAAAAATTATGGAGGAGATTGTCTGCCCTTTCATTTTCATACTCTTCTCATGCCCTCGTATGTGATTACGGTTAAGTCACGTCAACATTTTATATTAATTTTGTATAGAAATAGTAAAATAAAAAGTAATAGGAATATAAAATGTTAACGTGACTTAAACTTGACTACACAACATACAAACAGAAGAGTATGAAAATAAGACGGTAGACAATCCACCTCTAAAAATTATAGAATTAGGATTACAATTACACACGTCCAAGTATTAAATCAAATAATCAATCAACATATATCCACTCTGGACAGCCTGCATTTTTAATTTGTGCCATCCCATCAAAAATAATTTTATAAATTTCCCACCAAACATTGGATTCTTCTCAAACAAAAACTCAATCATGTATTAACAAAACAGCCCAATCAATTCACAAAAATTACAAGAAAAAAAAAATTGATCTAAAGATTTTAAATCCTGCCGACTCATTCCTCACTGTACACTCTCATCCAACAAAATTTAAAAATTTAAAAATTTTAAAAACGGCAGCCGAAAAAAATGCTGTGTTGGCAGTTAATCACCAAGAAAAAAAAGAATCCGATGCCTAGCCGACTCCGCAATGACAAACCCTTCCCTCTAAACGACAACCACCCCCCGGCGAATCTAGTGCTGCCTCAGCTCCTTCCGGAGTTTCTGAGAAAACGGCCGGCAAGCATCCATGCTCAGATCCATTGCCGCCGCCAATGCCACGTAAGCAGCCGCATCTTCCGTGCAGGTCACGTGCTGTACCCCGACCTCCACCTCCGGCTTGCTACACTTCCCGACACCCTCCACCGTAGAGGACATCACAAATCCTCTCTGTACCAGGCTGGGAAGCAGCCCGAACCCGAAGTCTGATCCGGATCCCGATCCCGGTCTGGACGACGTCCCCGACCCTAAGTCGAAGCTGCTGTGGGAGCTGTTCGCCGGTGTCAGGCTCGAGGTCAGGTCGATCGAGAACTTCCCGCCATTTTTTGCGCCGAGGGTGGAGTTCGCGAGAGTCGAGTTCTGGAGCTCGAAACGGTACCCGACGTTGTCGGAGCCGCCGCGCTCGAGCCAAGCCTCTAGCCGGCCCCAAGGCTGCCACGTTCCCTCGTTCGGGCGGAGGATGAGCCACGCTCCCGGGTTGGACCGGCTCACGCTGTGTGAACCTGGCGAGGCTACGAACGGGGTCACCATCGACGCCGCCGCCACGGGCGAGCCGGATAGGTCGTGGATCGTGATCGACCACCCTTTCCGCTCCTTGGCGCTTTGCTCCTTGTGGGTCCCACCGAAAGGCGGCCAATTTCGCGGTGTGCCTGGCTGTGATGACATTGACCTATTGAAAAACAAAACGAAATTAAAAAGGAAAATTAGTAATTGAGTGGCGATTTATTTGTTTCCTATTGCGGAAATCCAATTTCGCACTAGGGCAAAATTGAGAGATTTTCTCGGCAACCAAACTTGTGATTAGGACTGGAAAGTGAAAACTAACCTCGATTGCAAATCGTTTCTGAAGCCGAACTTGCAAGTGAAGACCGGCTGCTTCACATTCCCTTGGACTTGAAATACTTGAGGGCTACACTCGGGCTCTCCGTCGAACTGAAAAATGAATCTCGGGTCGGGTTCGGCCCGGACGCTCAAATACAACTCCGCCGACGAGGAGCCATTGCCGTTACTCTTCTTCCCACCAATGGCGATCCACCCGTTCTGATACACAACGGGCCTGGACTCCGCCACACCCAGCTCTGACAGCGGCACATTAACCCGACCCAACAACTTCGCGCTGTTTAACCCGCAAGTGGAGCCCACCCGACCCGTGTAAACCGCGATTTTCAAGATGGGTCGCTTGGAGGATAAAGTCTCGATTTGGGTTTTGTTCAAATTGAAGCAAGCGGCGAGGGAGTGGTTGTGGGTGGCCGTCTGCGCGGCTTGGCCGTCGTTGGCGATGAGCGGGACCGTGGAGACCTGGTGGGGGAAGTTGGAGAGTTTGATTTTGCAGAAGCAGGGGGAGGAGGAGGGGTGGACGGTGGCGGAGGAGGGCCTGGAGGCCATGGGAAACTTGAGGGTCAAGTCCCCGACGAGGATCCGTACAAACGGGCACGGATCCATTGACAGGGTTGGGAGGTTTGGTCAGGGTTTGACCTGGGAGGTTTGATCGTTGTGATTGTTGGGTTTTGGGTGGGATTAGGAATATAAGGGGAGAGATGGGTAGAAGACTGGAAGAAGAAGATGAAGTATGAAGACGAAAGACAGGCTGTAAAAACAGCTAGCGTCTGATGTGCAGAGAATCTATAGGCTGCGGCCGAACTCAATGACCTAAGCATGGCCTCTCTTCCTTTTTTCTTCTTTCAGATTTTCATTTTTATGGAAAATATTTAATATTTATTCATATTTAAATGGATTTTATGGTAGTTTGCTAACCAATTGCTCTTCCTAACATTTAACACATTAACGCTATAATTTGTCAAAATGTATTTTTAGATAAAAATAAATTACAGACCGTAACATGAAGATTTTGATAAAAAAAAAAATTAAATTTTGATAAAAAAATTAAACTAAAATTTGGAGAAATAAACAAATTAAATTTTGATAAAAAAAATTGTTTTCACAAAGTTAATGATTTATGACTTAAAAGAGATAAATTATGGTGATGATAATACTCGAGAACTAGTTCGATAAAGAGACGAAATATGCTTAGTGTCTACTTCAAACTCTCGTCTCGTTGCATATTACATTCTGGTGTGGAAACTTTTAAATGAGATTTTACTTGTAATATGTTTTGCCACAATAACTATTCAACATATAGAGGAATACGAGTTAATATTGTCTTAATACAATTTATATCTTCACTATCCCTCATTTAATATCGATAGGTTTTTATGATCAGAAATTTTAAATCCTGAACTGAAAGAGTAATAAAAATGTCTTGTTGGACGGCATTATGGCATGACAGTGAGGATATTTAATGATAAGAGTATTACAATTTAGTTTTTAATTAAATTAATTACATTCTAACAAAAATTCAATTCACATACTTACTACATATAATGGTCAAAACTGATGTGCATGTCAATACAACGACAATTTTCGAACAAAAAAAAAAAAAAACAAAAGTTCTGATGACATTTCCTTATTTATAAGGAAAGATTTTCCATGTTGAAAAACTTTGCATAACTTGCATAATTGAAAAGTACGTATTAATAATAAATCATGTTTAACGTTCATAAAATGACACATGAAATATTTATTTGTTGACAAGTGTATATTTCATCCAGAATGCCAGTTGTCAATAGATTTTCATTTCGTCACATTCCTTACCATTCAATCAACAAATTATAAAATTACAATTTTCTACTTTATATTCTATTTAAATGTTGAAAAATTGCAAATTAGGCTCAGCCAATACCATAGGGGCAACGGTTGACATGTGTCGCAATCAAAAGCCCAGCTCACGGAAACTGACAAAAAGCCGCAGATGATTCGGGCTCCTTTTAAAAACGTATCAGCATGCGTGGATTGGAAGGAGGAAGCTGCGAAATTTTTTAATTATGACGGGAATATAAGTGGTATATTACGTATTTAAATAAAAATGGTAGGAAATTTTATTTTTTAAGTTATTAATTTTTTAGCACATATATTTTACCATTTATATAATAACACATGATATACTACCTCTCATGTACTGATCACACTGAAAAATCGCTCCTGGATCACAATGCACACGTACCCAGCCATTTAGCTTTTTATAATTTGCCAGTGCCACTCATATAATATTCGGACCCTTCTCGGTTTTCGGGTTCTGGCGTACGAATTCGAGTATGGCCCACCAAAGAGCTTTATCGGAAATAAAATTGCACTACATAGCGATCCGTTGGAGCGCTGTCGGAGCTCCAACTAGCGGACAGCTGTGCCCAAAATTTACGCCAGAGAGGACTGTGGTTGGATGCCACTCTGACCAACCACATCCAATGTGGGTCCCACGGATTTGTCCATTAAGATTAATCAATTAAAATTAAAGCTAATTGCACTTTGGACCCTTGTAGTTGAGGGTATGTGACAAGTTGGTCCCAATCTATGTGGGGATAGGATAAAGGTAACATATAGGTGTTTACCAAAATGAAAAAAAAAAAGAGATGACATAGATGTTATTGTTGGAGCATCAGAAAATAGAAAAGTTTATGGGATTTCAGGATTGTATTTTATTGTCTAAGATCTCTCTTTAAGTTAGGTCGTTGGAAATGTTTGTTTGTCCTTGTAACTATGTTCGTTTGTTCAATTAGAATTGATTTATTTTCTACATTTTTGGCCGAATTGATTTTCGGCTCAATGGCGAAGGGCTTGGCTTAGAAGAAAAATGTAGTGCTGATAGAGTAGCTGAGTCCTAGATAAGTTAGGATTCTTGAGGATTTAGATGTTTTCTGATAAGGATTAGAATATTGTAAGGATTGAAGATTGTGGCTGGTGGGATAGGAATGAATTAGTCGCATAATAAGTCTAGGTTCAGAGTTTTAATCGAAGAAATTGAGACTTGACGGCAATAAAGTTTCGACGGAGAGTAATTGACCATATTCAGAAATTATGCCAAGGAATTAGAATATTATCAGAATTTTACAACTCAGTATACCTGGGGATAAGGAAATTTGACCCTAAATTTATATTTTTAGGATTTTGTCCTACTTTTCTCTTGCCTTAGCCTTCATCTTACCTTAGTTTATTAAGCTTTTGCCTATGCCTTTACCTCTAAAATTTGTTAGGGTTTCCTTGTTTGTCTTGCCATCCTTGCGCCCATGTTGCTATTTTGTTGTGACAATGCCTTGCCTTACTATTACTTGTTGTTGGTTGTTCATAAACAATATTTGTCACTTCATTAGTCCAATTATCGAAAATAACTTTCATGCAACATGAATGTCATAATGGCACTATCACGAGTCACTTACACACTGTCATAAAAAGTATTTTCCACTTCATTAGTCTAATAATGACTATCATGCAACAAAAATGCTATAGTGGCTATCATAAGCCATTTATGCATTGTTTAGTGCGTAATTGGCTTGTGATACTTGTTAACACTCAAATATGGCGAGATCAACAAAAGATCAATACGATTAACTATGATAAGTGCAACTGTACTTGACATTTAAAAGACAAACGGGTTTAAGTGGTTCATCCAAAGAGACGGGTTACATTCACTGACAATATGTGATATATGTGTTGGGTTATAAGGCTTTCAAGGAACATACAATGATACAATATTAAGCCTATTCTCTTTGCAGAATCCAGTGCCTTTTTTGGGTCTCTGCTCTTCCTTATATAGGCTATGCCTTCTTAGTCCAAAAGTTATTGGCATGCCCCAATCCCGACATACGTCCAGAATCGACATGTGACGTCACCAAGTATCCGTATATCCAACAGACCCCACCTCCGGGATATGTACAAAGCATAATTCAAGATTTGAATTTCTTAGAAATTTTCGTATACTTTATGGCTGCATCTAACCTCTTCATTAGACTGCCTACGTATCCTAAATAGGGATCAAGTCATTCGTAGTTCACCATTTACTACAATTTGACAAATATCACAGTCCATTCAAGCTGAAAGGCATAAAATTCCTCAATCAATCATTAGAACTTGACAAGCATGAAATTACTAGACTCAGGGCTACATAACAAACCCACATGACAATCAAGATTTCCAATTTATCCATCATATAAGGCACTACGTTTCATATAGTATCGCAATTCATAATATACAACATCTCAAAGAACAGTCAACGAAGCACAATGTTATTCTCTAGCCACATTGGTCAACGAGTCTAATCATAATAATAGCAATCATATCCAACATCATTCCACAATCACTCCAATTAATCAGTCATAAGAATCAAAGATGCACTATATTAACATTTAACTACATTAATCAATCAGTAAGATCGCATTTCAATACATGAATTTAATAAAGGAATTCTACATAATTCCCTACCTGAATTCCAAGTAATAACATGATAATTCTAGTTTATATACATAACGTCTACTATGAGCAATTCCTACTCACTCGAACCTAGGGTCGGACTAACTTTATGGAAATGAGCAAGAGTAGGGATTCTAGACCATTCAAAGGAATTCAACCAAAATATGATAGCCTATCGAAATGTACCAAGTACAACTAATCCTCATCACCCCTAGAATGTGTATGGTCCCCCATCGCGGATATACCAAGCAGAACCATAGGCATAATCTCATTGTACAGGCAGTGATCACCCATCGTGGATATACCAAACATGATCACCCTTAAATACGTATGGCCCCCATCGCGGATATACCAAGCAGGACCACATCCTACCTCTAGGTAGTGATCACCCATCACGGATATACCAAGCAAAACCATATGCATAGACTAATAATGTAGGTAGTGATCACCCATCGTAGATATACCAAGCATGATCACCCTTAACAATCTCTCATCGCGGATATACCAAACAGGACTGTATCCTACATCTTTAGGTAGTGATCACCCATCGCGGATATACTAAGCATAATCACTCCTAGAATGCGTATGGTCCCCCATCGCGGATATACCAAGCAGAACCATAAGCATAGTTTAATCATGCAAGCAGTGATCACCCATCACGGATATACCAAACATGATCACCCCTGAAATACGTATGGTCCCCTATCGCGGATATACCAAGCAGGACCATCCATGTACCACATCCTACCCATACCTCATCCCCTTATGAGTTACAACGTAGTCACCTACACCATCAACTTCTCACGGCCACTAACTAATATGTCACACAAGCATATAAGTTCTACAAAATACTTTTAATATGATTCTAGGATCACATTGTCATAACATTTATCATACTTATCATTCACATTATTAAGAAGATAAATAAACATATATATATATATATATCACAATATGACGTTCCATACACGTAAACCGATGTATATATTATCTGGGATAACTCACTAACCAATATAGGCCCACGAATCCCTACATAGTCTCTAGTAATGCTGATTTTAATAATTAAGATCAATTCGTAGCATATTGAACAAAAGTCAAGTCTCTGTCAAATGTGAGGTCCACAACCCTATACAAGTCAATCTAGAACATCTGCCCATGGATTTTCGATCGGTAA